CATCTCCTCCTACATGTCTCTGTGTGAGTGCAGCTACAGCGTGCGCTCTCAGGACATCATTACCTGCAGTGTTCCCTCAGTGAGGACTGAACTAGACAAAAGGACCTTCTCCTCCTCCGCTCCTGTTTCCTGGAACATCTTGTAAAAAGATCTGAAGCTCTCGACCTTTGACCTCTCTAAGTGGCTTTAAGAATCTGTTGGACTCCTGGCAGGGACCAATGCTGACATGTTCCTGTTTTTAGTTTCTACATTCGCCTTAAAATCTAGCTGTTTTTGTTACTTTTCTTTTTTTTAGCCATCCTATTTGTTAAAAAAAATAAAAATCTGTATGACTTTTTATAACTGCTTATTGTTGTTGCTGTTGTCCATTGTTGTCATCTTTCTTTGTTGAAATCAGGTCTCTCTTGTAAATGAGTCCTCGAGGCTCAATGGGACTACCTGTCTAAATAAAGGTTGAACGAATGAATGAACTTAAAACATTTGTTTTGTTAAACACAGACATGAACTGAATTACAAATTTATTGAAAACTCTGCACCATAACAGAACATTAAACACACCAAAAGCTTCCCAAGCTCGGTCAAACATGCAAAAACAAGACAACTTTAATTTGTTCAGTCAGTACTCTAGCACATGACGTCACTCAGAGCACAGAGCATAGAGTTAGAGTGAATAGATCTGCCCAGTCATGGATCGGTCACATTGTCACCAATACCGATCCACAAGTTGTTTTTTTCCTATATCGGTACCGATACCGGCATCGGATCAGTGCATCGCTCTATTCAATAGTATTAAAGATGTGTTCTGTGTCTGCTCTGAAGTGCTGCACTGTGCTCTGACACAGAGTTGTATCAGGGACGTCCTGTCTGTCTGTCAGCTGATGTGAGTTCATGTCTCTCATCATAACACTGATGCTATGGGATCATCTCTGTAGTGTCCAATCCTGATGCAACAGGAAGTATTCTGCAACGCTTCCCCTAACGTTATCCAAGCAGAACCGAGCACCCCACCTTCCAAAATCCAAACCCTCACCCCCAAAGTTATGCTACCTCCAGACGAGAAGCAGAGATAGTAGCCACAGGATAAAAGGATTTGACCTAGTATTAGTAACGTAGCGCTCCGCTACCATAAACGTCCAACAAGCGCCCTGTCTAGAACAGAAATCTAGGGAACACTGTGAGTTAGAATAACAATAAAGTGAAATACATAGCAGCTACCATAAAATGAAGATGTCACAGCAGGATGTTGTTACCAAACACACAAAATATATATTTTTTTGTTGTTAGTTTTGGTTGTGGCAATAAAAAATATATATATTTCATCAGTGGTGGGCACAGCTAACGAAAAATTTAAATTCACTAACACTAAACTGCTCAACAGATTAAAAATGTTGCTTTGCTAACGCTACAGCGCTAACTTTTGTCATCCACTGCTGTCACTGACGATGTAAGAGTGTCTGTAATGTGACAACGTTGTAAGTGATGAACACAACTCAGAACGGTTCATAAATCACAAAGAAAGCGTCCCGTTCAGAGTTGAGCTTTCAGAAATGAATCCGGTCCATCAGAACCAAAGAGGCAAAGCAGAACTCTGATGAGTTGAAGCAGTGACGCATTCAATGTGTGTCGGACGTCTCCTCTCGTTTATTATGATGCATTCAATGTGTGTCGGACGTCTTCTCTCGTTTATTATGATGCATTCAATGTGTGTCGGACGTCTCCTCTCGTTTATTATGATGCATTCAATGTGTGTCGGACGTCTCCTATCGTTTATTATGACGCATTCAATGAGTGTCGGACGTCTCCTCTCGTT